AAACTTTATCATTCACCCCACATGATCTCATGAAATGGTCGGAGGCAGTGGATATCTCAAAGGCTACAGGCTCTGACAACGTTCTAGCAATAGTACTGGAGACTTGTGCTCCAGAACTTGCTGCTCCCGTAGCCAAGCTCTTCCAGTGCAGTAACAACACTGGCATCTACCCGATAATGTGGAAAATTGTCCAGGTATATCCTGTACACAAAAAGGAGAAATCCAACCCCAGCTAGTTACCATCCTAACAATCCAGGCAACAATATGGAATGAACAACAAATCGTGGCACTGTTAGTGTCACCCATGTCCCACAATTCATTTAAAGAAAAAACTGCCAAAACTGATGACTGACAAGACCCGAGTGATATCTAGGTAGTTCCCCGATACTGCCTAGATATCGGCGTACCGATACTGCCTTGTTGCACAGAATCTGCAGGACTGACTGTGAACCACTCCCTGACTGTGATGACATGGATTCCCAGATCCTAATGTGCTATGCTCCTAGCAGATCATGCCCAAGACCCAGGATTGATATCAGATTGTGCCTTTGACCTACTGTGCCAGTACTTGCTAACTAATTACAGTTCCCCTTGACTTGACTAAGGATTACTCCACTTAGATTGAGACATGGGCATCTGGGTGATGCACACAATATGTTTTGCAACATAAACTGCTGGTGAATACTGTAGGTGAGACAATGACGTAGCACGATGGTGCACAGCAGGGAAAGTACATTGAATGTGCAAGGGAAACTATTTTTACAAAAAAAAAGTTACAGCTGCTTTCATAGAGAACTTCTTAAAAAGGTTGATTTTTTTCAGATCCTCTTACTCCTAAACAGATAGGTTAGGTCATAAATTTAATATATTTGAAGTGTGACTAACCTTTGTTTTGCATCCTTCCTTATTTGAGTTTTAAGATTATAAATCAGCTGCACAGAATTTCCCAAGCATGGCACAAATATGTACTGGAATTTATGTTGTATAAAACTTGCATTTGGAAGGGAAATTCTAAACAAACTGTCAGTCCTAGGTCATCAGCACTAAATTGAAACACCACCAGATTTAAAAGAGGGGTGTAACATACATTCATTTGAACGCTCATATTAAAAGTAAAGTTCTAAATTTTAAAAAAAACCTCAGGAACAATTTAGATGATCACTTGAATAAGTCAGCACCTTGTTTTGTAAATAAAACACTTTTTGCAGAGATATAGAAACATTTTCTCTCTGCACACATGCCACCCCTGTTCCATGTCAAACAGATGGCAACAGTTCACTGGTTGAAGTCACTGTAGGAAAAAAGTGCCCTTTTGATTTGAAGTGGGGCAGGGGTTAAAAAATGTTTCCATCAGTCTATATCATCCTGTAAAATATGAAGGTAATCAATTTTCAGTCAAATAAGAGTAACCACAGGTTTAAATGTATCAAAATAATTCATTCATTATAATCATAAGTCACAGTTCTAAACTTTCTCCCATGTTATGGCATTGGAGCTGTGCAAAAAGTATGTTTTACAGCAGTCTAGTGAAGACCAGCTCACATAACCGTACACATTCATTTCTTTCTGCTCCTTCGAATTTACCAGCTCCTTTGCTGGCTTGGGTATTTACCCTACTGCTGCCTAAACGCTTGCAATCCCTTCAAGTCCAAGGAACCAAATTTCACATTTATTTATCTGTGCAGTTTTAAAACATTGGGTTTAGAAAAAGCTATTTTTGTTCATCAACCATAGACTCATAGTTGTATAGCATAGAAATAGACCCTTCAGTTCAACTTGTCCATGCCAACCAGATATCCTAAATTAATCTAGTCACGTTTGCTAGCATTTGGCCCATATCCCTCCAACCCTTCCTATTCATGTACCCATCCAGATACCTTTTAAGTGCTGTAAATGTACCAGCCTCCACCACTTCCTCTGGCAGCTCATACCACACACATACCACCCTGTGTGAAAAAGTTGCCCCTTAGGTCCCTTTTATATCTTTCTCCTCTCACCTTAAACCTATGCCCTCTAGTTTGGATTTCCCTACCCTGGGAAAAAAGACCTGACTATTCACCCTATCCATACTCCTCATGATTTTATAAACATCTATAAAGGTCACCCCTCAGCCTCCGACATTCCAGGGATAATAGCCCTAACCTGTTCTTCATCTCCCGTTAGCTCAAACCCTGCAAACCTGGCAACATCCTTGTAAATCTTTTCTGAACCCTTTCAAGTTTAACAACAAAGATATTATACAAAGTAAGGAGATATATTCCAAAAGCAGCTTAACCAATATCCTGTATAGCAGCAATATTATATCCCAACTTCTATACTCAATGCACTGACCAATAAAGGCAAGTGCACCAAATGCCTTCTTCACTACCCTGCCTACATGTGACTCCACTTCAAGGACTTATAAACCTGTACTCCAAGGTCTCTTTTGTTTGACAACACTCCCCAGGACCCTACCATTAAGTGTATAAATCCTGCCCTGATTTACCTTACAAAAATGCAACACCTCATATTTATCTGAAGTAAACCCCATCTGTCACTCCTCCGCCCATCTGATCAAGGTCCTGTTGTAATCCAAGATAACCTTCTTCACTGGCCACGACATCACCAATTTTGGTGTCATCTGCAAACTTAGTAACTATTCCTTCTATATTCACATCCAAATCATTTATATAAATGATAAAAAGCAGTGGACCAATCCTGGCAGTACACCGCTGGTAACAGACCTCCAGTCTGAAAAACAACTCTCCACCACCACCCTCTGTCTTCTACCTTCAAGGCAATTTTGTATCCAAATGGCTAGTTCTCCCTGTATTCCATGTGATCTAACCAGTCTACCATGTGGAACCAATGCAGAATCGATTCAAAAATCATACTACTAAGAAGCGACTTGTGACATATTCAATAAAGAAAAACATCAATTTAAACTTTAAACGCAGACCTTGAGGTGTTTTTTAGGCTTGCAGATCAAAGGTTTACAGCTTGTATATACTGTGCAAGAATATAGTTCAATGAGCATGTCAGTAATCTGGCACCTTGCCTAATTAGTTGTTCTGAACGGTGATTCTAAACAGAAGACAGGCCATTCAACCTTGAAGAAGATCACAGCTGAGCTCAACTGTCCTTAAAACACACTCTTTCCAGTTAAGTGGATTAACAAGACTGGAAACAATTACTAGTTGCTTAGACCCCACTCCATCCCCATCTTTGCTCATCTAGGAATATCACATTCACAGGTTACTGGCCTAAAACTACCTTCCTGTGAAAAATGAACACAAAAACCTGGACACTTATATAACTTAGTACTATACCATGATAGCTCATGTTCATTAGACTATTTGTAACTGCTAGCAATTTCTTATAATTGAACACAGTCTATTATTTTCTATGTGGCACAAAGTAGTTACCAGATGACAAACAAATTAGCGAAGAATAAATTTATAATAAATATCTCAAATATCTTGCTGAAAAAGTGAATTCTGGCAGAAGTGGAGGAAGAAGCAGTTAGTTTGTTGAGTTTTCTTGAAACTAGTCTTAAAACAAGTGGCAATTTTTACAAAAAAAATGTTGAATTCACCACTTGATTCGATTGCACTTGACAATCCCTGAAATCTTGAAATATTTCAATGATAAACTTTTATTTGACAAAGAAAGTACTTAATTTTTAATTCTTTTTGCATTTACTTTTCAAATAAGATTTTTCTGATTCACATACGGGCCAACTAATGAGGTTGTGATTTCACACACATATCTTTTAGACAAGTTGCTGTTTCATGTATATATTCTGTTTCTTATCAAATTCTTAGTTTTAAGTTCTGAATGGTACACACCAAAATATTAATGGTGTTCTCTGCAGAAGTGTTTATCAGCTATTTCTGCTTTGGTTAGAAATATTTAGCATCACACACATGGAATAATATTACACGTAAACAAGGTTTAACAAGTCCATATGATTATTTTCACTATGAGACTGTATTGAATGGATTGCACAACTACATTACTACAAAGCAGCTGCACTTTTGATGTGACTATTAGCAAAATAAACATGCAAATGTAGGATGAAGAACATTGAAAAAAAAGGTTTTGAAGAGGTTGAAGGGAAGAGGTTCAAAACAATACAAATGCTAAGGGTAGAAGGTCCAGCTGTCTCAGTGTGACTGGCCTTCAGTTTTAAAAATGTGATAATTATGTACAGCAAAAGGATTAAATTTGCACTGCAATCAAATGCCCTACGAATTTTTTTTATACCTTCAAAACAGATTTTGTGAACTATATGGTTGAAAAAGAAACTGAAAAGATGGAAAAGTCTTTGAAACATTTATTACTTCCATTACAAAGAAATAAATTAATCAACATCCAAGCTTTAAACTAAAACAAATCCAAACTAAAAAGGCACTAGGTCACCACAATGGGTGGTTTAGTCAGTAGTCCCAACACCTACTTCTTATTTCTATTGAGGGAGATAATTTCAAGTTGCTACTAGGTTGCAGGATAGAAAACAAAAATACGGAAAACTGCAGAAGGCAGATATGCTTACAGCAATCATCATTGCTGAATACTAACAGCTACTATTGCTAGTCAAACCTGTAAGGCTACCTTGGCAAGTAGCTGAAAGAGCAATCATGTACTTCTCTTTTAAGAGACCTCAAAAGAAAAAAAAAATCACGAATTGCAAATAAGAGTCCCAGGCCAGCAACGCAGGCTTCTTGACTGTATCTAGCAATGGCAGAAAGAATAAGAAAGAAATCCCAATTCTTAATACTCTCACAATGAGAAAGGGAAAAAATTAAGCAAATCCAAAATAAAAAATTGTTCTGAATGGAACATGGTGGAAATAATAATTCAACATATGAAAAGCATACCTTCGTCTGTAAACTGACCAGATAAAACACCTCAATGCAAACGTACAGGGAGTGAAAAAAGTATGAAATATGGTTACGTAGAAAAAAATTTATATTTGTCAGTAAATGTGGATAAATGTATGCAGAGAAAACAAATCAAACTTTTTGAAATTATCATGTAAATTATTTTAATACACTTCAAGATTACTGACAGTTTAGTGATTCACAAAAATATTACAAAAGTCAGTGCAAGCCAAGCTGCACTACAGACGAGTTAAAAATTTACAATAGATAACTACAATAAAAACATTTTTAAAAACCTGTGCTAAAAATCTTCATTTTAAAAAAGGTAGCTAAGAACCATGTGCTAAACTGCTGGTCTGCAGGGGTCTTCAAATCAAATCTGTAGAGTGATTCAAGATTCTATGAAAAACAAAACACTGCACACAGAAAGAAGGGATGAACTACAAAAATGTTCACCTAGAATGCTGATTGCATGCTACTATTGTAGCAAATTGAATCTTGTATTTCAATCAAACTGTTACGAAAACTGGTTTTAACCACTTCCAGAGACAGGGTGTTGTCAGATTCTCATTCCTTAATCAGGCAAACTCTCATTAAATGTAGAACTGATTAAAACCACCTTTGATACTGATGACTATATTGATTAAAACTATTAAATCTCAGTTGCCAACCTGCATCAATCACCTATCAAAGCAGGTGGCAGTACTGAATTTTATCTCATGCTTAACCTTAAAATGATTCAGAAAAGAATGACATTTAATAAATCAATTCCAGAAATAGAACCACATTCGTCTGAAATATAGTTCAAACAGTCATTAAGCATGCCAGTATCACATTAACTTCCAACTTGGTTTATTTAGGACAGCTGTTAAAATGGTTCGTTTGACACTGGTCAACTTATTTTTCTGGTCAATCTGCTTAGATGTTATTGAACACTTCTGGAGCAGGTGGGACTTGAACCTGGGTCTCTTGGTCCAGGGTTAGGGACACTACCACTACACCACAAGAGCCCCTTAAACATTGGTCAATTGGATGCAGCATCATCCCATACACCTGTATTCACAAATAAGCTTTTGCCTTCAAACATCTCTTTGAAGTTTAAGGTTGTTAATCGTGACTGAAGACAGATGTAAGTTTCCATATACTCATCCATTAACTAACAATTTTATTGATGACTTACCATCTTTCATCTAAATTTAAGTATAGCATGTTTTTTATTTTTAAGTAACTGGTCATTAAAAAGAAACAGCCATTAAATCACAATGCTAGAAAGATCCGTCTTATCTTTTGCCTAAAATTTTCATATATTTTCAATTATTTCAGAAGCTATACGAATGATAAACATTGATAAATCACCAGATATAATGGTGGAATATATGGGCACTGTAATTTAGGAAGGTCAAATGATCTTGAAGAGGGCATAGGGACTTCAAGTTTTTGAGGCACCAAAGAAATTGGAATTGATCTCCTTACAGCAAGAAAGCCAAGGGGAAATTTATTAGCTCTATTCATTATTGTGATGGGATTCCATAGAGTAACAAAGGGAAGACAATATTTCCAGAAGCAAGAGAGTTGGTGACCAGAAAGCACATATTTGATTAATTGATGAAAGAGCCAAAAGAGAAATTTGGAGATTATATTTTTTTTTAACCAAGTTGTTGCAGCAATAGAATGCACTGCCCAAAAGGAAAGTGGAATCAAATTCAATAGTGTCTTACAAAAGGCAATTAGATATATACTTGAATGTGAGTAATTTATAAGACTCTGGGAAAAAGCAGTGGAGGGGAATTAATTTGATAGCTCTTTCAACAGATTTACAGCAGACATCTGATGGGCGAAATGGCCTACTTCTGTAGTGTTAGAGGTCACAATTCTATGCAGTGAGCAAAATTAAATAACTTCCATAACGATTAAAACTGCTAAAACTTAATCTTTAGGAAGCAGAAGTAATAATACAAAGGCACTTCCAAATATTTGTTTAAACAGAGCAACAATAAAATTGATTTATCACCAATATAAAAGGAAAAAGTTAAACACAATTGTCTCAACATTCCCCTTTTTAAATGAGTTACCTATTTGCCTTCCCACCCATCTTTGCTGTTCTTTTAAAGAAAAATCAATCTTATGGGGAAATAATATAAAAGTACAAACTCATCTGAACGAATGTAAAATAAGTTACCTGCCAGTGGAATACATCTTTGGCATGATCCACACAACAACAGGACAATTCTACGACGCAGTACTTTGTGAGCACTTCAGTCAACAGAGATAAGACAGGAACGATAAGCTACAAAAAAAGTGTGTAACTGATTTCCTGCCCACATACTGTCTTTAATATATTAGGCACGGTGAGCTAAAATACATAGTCTCCAGTTTAATTGGAATGGATTTAATATTAACGTTACTTCTTGTACAGCTTGAAGCTACAATGGCTATGTAGCCATCCTTTTGGACTGTTACATACTGCAAAATTACTTTTGCAAGCTAAGAAGTAAATGCAAGGTATTTTTACATTGATAATAACTAATCTTAATAATCCTGGCTACTGCAGCGGACTGTCAAATGCTGATTCAGGTAAAATTGTGATTTTCAGTTTTTTCTCTGGCCAGCTGTACTCCTTTGGCAGTTTCACCTATGAAAAAAAAGAAATGAACAGTAAATATATGTGTAAAGATGATCTTTGCTAAATTCCCCACTATCAATAATATTAGGGGGTGTGGTTTAACCATTGTCCAGAAATTGAATTAGATCAGCCACATAAATACGATGGCTATAAGATCAGGTTAGAAATTCAACATTCTGCATTAACTCCCTGCCTTCCTGTCAACCAGTTATAAACCACAAAAAAGAGAGAGAGAGAATACTTTTCACTTGCTTGGATGAGTGCTGCTCCCATAATACTTAAAAAAAACTTGATACCATCTAGGAAAAAAAGTAGACTGCTTGAATGGAACCATGTTAAACATTCACTCCCTCCAGTACTGACTCTCAATGGCAGCACATGAATGCAGCAGGTAATCAGGAAGGCTAATGGAATATTGGCCTTGATTTCAAGGGGTTTGGACTATAAAAGAGTAGGGAAGTCAGTGCGATGGTACAAGGTGCTGGTGAGACCTCATTTGGGAGTACTGTGAGCAGTTTTGAACCCTTTATTTAAGGTAAGATATCATTTCTTTGGAGGCAGTTCAGAGAAAGTTCATCAGGATGATCCCTGGTATGGAGGATTTGTCTTATGAGCAAAGGCTCAACAGGTTGGGACTTTACTCAAGTTTCAGAGAACAAGACGTGATCTCGTTGAAACATAGGATTCTGAAGGGGCTTGACAGGGTAAATGCTTAGAATCCATGACCAGACGGCAAAGTCTTAGAATAAAGGGATGCCAATTTAAGACTGAGAAAGGGAGGAATTTCCTGTCTGAGAGTTGAGTATCTTTGGAATTCCATGCCACAGAAAGTTGTGGGGGCAGAGGACTGGTGTATATTTAAAGCTGAGATAGATTCTCCATCAGTACGGGAATCAAAGGTTGAGGGGTAAGGGCAATAAAGTGGATGAGGAATGTCGGATCAGCCACAAATGGTGGAGCAGACTCAGGGGGCTGAATGACCTATTCCTGTTCCTATTTCTTATGGTCCTATGGTCTCAAGCCTTCTTTGACAGCACCTTCCAAACCTATGACCTCAGTCATCATGATATCCATACCCCATAAATAATTAGTAAATACATTAGCCTTTGAAGGGAACTGCAACGTTAATAGTGCAAATTTTAAGGAAGAAAATAATAGCATGTGCATGTCAAATATCATTACTAAAGTGCACATTGATTAAGAAGTTGGCAAGGAGCAAATGTCTTGAGAATTGCAAGATTCCACAAGCTGCTGGATGACTTGCTCTGTTCAACTTGCTCTGTGAAAACAGCATCTGACTCTTTGTCCCATGACGTATTTTCCATTGTTCCTTCCCATTTTCACTCCTAGTCCAAACTTTCCTTCCCTTATTTCTCTGGCAATATCAGCTTTAACACTAAATTGTATATTGTACTTCATCTTCTCAGTCCTTCCCTGTTTTCGTTTGGGTGAAACGTTCCTGCGGGGTACCAACACGAGACATGGTAGGTCAATCAACAATATGCTGCAACCATTCTGTGATTCCATTTCAATTATTCAATCTCATTGTTTCAGGACATGCACCATTTATGGCATTGCTCACCAAGGATATATTTCCAAGTCAGGATGGTGTGTGGCTTGAAGGGAAACCTGCAGGTGTTGGGGCTACCATGCATCTGCTCCCTTTGTTCTTAAGGTGGTAGAGGCAAGGGGTTTGGAAGGTACAGGTGAAGGAGCCTGGATTAGGTACTGCAGTGTACCTTGTAGATACTCAAATGCTATTGTGCATTAGTCTCGATAGCAGTAAATGTTACAGGTGGTGGATGGGGCTGTCAAGTAGCAAGGTTGCTTGGACCTAGATAATATCAAGCTTTCAGAATATTGTTGCAGCTATACACAGCCAGGCAAATAAAGGATCCATCATACTCCTGACGCATGCCTTGTAGATGGCAGACAGGAATTATGGAGTCAGAAGACGAGTTACTGGCTGCAGAATTCCTAGCCTGACCTGCTCTTATAGCCACTGTCTTTATGTGGTTAGTCCAGTTTAGTTTCTGATTAATGGTAACCCCAGGATGTTTTTACTGGAGGATTTAACAATGGCAGTGCCAGTGAAATGTCAAGGAGTAATGTCCAGATTCTTTTGTTGGAGATGGACATTGCCTGGCACTTGTGTGGCATGGATGTTCCTGGCCAGATGTCTGCACAACCCAGAAGTTGTACAGGTCTTGTTGCATATAAAGACCAACTCCTTCAGCATCTGAGGACTTGCAAATGGTGATGCACATTGTGCAATCAGCAAACATCCCCACTTCTGACCTGATGAAGAAGCAGCTGAAGATGGTTGGATCTTGAACACTTCCCTGAGTAATCCTGCATAGGCTGAGATGATTAACATCCAATCATTTTCTTTCGTGTTAGATAAGACACCAACCAGCAGAAAGCCTTCCTCGATGAACCCCAGTTTTGCTCAGGCTCCTTGATATCATACTCAATTAATGCTGCCTTAATGGCAAAGGCAAGTTACACTATCTCATTTCGGGAATTGAGTTCTTTTGCCCAAGTCTTGACTAAGGCTGTAATGAGGTCAGGAGCAGGCTGGTCGTTGCAGAACCTGAGCTGAGTATCAGTGAGCAAATTATTCCTTTCCAAGTGCCACCAGATAACACTGTTGCTGTACTTTTCCATCACTTTGCTAGATTATCAATTAACATTAGTGCTGCATTTTACCAGTTAGAAGACCGAGAACATTAATTCCATGAGTCGAACTGAATTGGAACCTAAATGTCAGTGAGTAAACATCACTGCAACTCAGTCATCATCTGATTTCCTTAAAATAGTATTGTTAAAAGCTCCTTTATACACTAACCATAAAGCCAAGTGCATAAAATATTACTACAATTAATTAGAGCTAGTAAAAACAATGACATTTCCTCTCTAATTACTCTTTAAAGTATATTTTACTACCGGAAAGTAAAGACTTATTACACAGACCAATGTCAACTCCTAAGTATAAATTAGCAGTGCCATGGAAGTAAGTTCTCAAAATAATTTATTTTAAATATGCTCTATCGATGGTCTGTGGTGTGAATGAAAGCAAGTCTAGGTGGCTGAAGAATTGTTAGTCAAAATCCCTACTTGGAATGAATTATTCATTTACACCTAATATATAAACATGATTCCAAAACAGCCAGAATGGAACAGAATGGCCCAGATTCTGTAGTGGTTATGACAACACAACATTCAGATTCATCATTATTCCACTGCAACTGAAAGAAATCCTTGCATACACAGAAAATATGGAAATCTAAAAGTTGCTGCCTGTGATTCTACAGGTGGTGCACTGGTAAGAATCTCCCAAAGTGCAATCTCTGAATAATCAGTGAATTGATGAAACATCCAATTTTATGCTGCAATGTCATAAAATAATTGGACAGGCTGTTCTTTGTTGAATGAAGTGTAACTGTGTTTCCAATTATCTAATAGGTCATTAATTGCCATACCCACCCTCACTAGCCTAGATGATTTATTTTGTAGAATGTCAAATTTCTCTATGTAAACTTAAAGTTTTGATTTTTCAGCTTCTATGTTAATCTGACCATAATGATTTATTTTGCTATCAAAAATGTTAAAGATGATAATCAGTATTTGCAGCTTTTTGGAATACTTCAACGTTATTGGTAGTTTACTCTGATTCTGACATCACTGCTGTTTAATGTCTGGAGATCAGTTTGACTTGATGCTAAATTTGAATTATTATTAGTTCAGAGGAAACTACATTACAAAGATAGCTAGATCTTTGGGGGACAGCATTCTTTGAAGTCAGCAGCAAATTCTGTTGCTTCATCCCAAACACAAAATCCAGCCTTATGTTAACATAATTAAACATCTAAATTTCACTTTGCTAATTTCCTATGCTACAAAGTGGAACCCTGCTTGTTCATTCATTTCTCTCTCTATTTCTCAGTATACATGCAAATGGATATAAAATACATCTGGAGAACAACTTCCCTGAAACCTTACTGACTTGTTTAAGAAATCTTGCTAAATTGTTTTAAGAAATCTTACTTCTTTCGGAGAGGTCAGGTCTTCTAAATCCTCTAGCATTTTTTCCACAAACTCTTCATTTAGCAGAATCTGAAAACATAAAAATGCACATATCACAATAAAAAGCATTTCAGAATTTATTCCATATTATTTGTCATACTATAATACATTCAGCACACTGTAAAGCTTCTGAGAGATATTAATATCAAAAAGCATATCCTTTTGGTTTTTCACAACAAGAAAGGTACTGACCATACCCAACCTCCACACACTTATAAAACTGAAAACAATCTCTTAACATTAGATGTGACTCTGCAACTGGACAATGTTTGCTAAATAATCCTAAGTGTGGTAAGAATTACCCCGACAACCAGTCTCAGTGTAGCAAATTCGTGTGTACTGAAAGCTACATGCATTAATAATCAGTGTCCTGTCCTCTGCAGACAGTAAGAACATTTCCACACAGTCCTCCCCCTAGATTCAGCTGACAAAGAGTAAGTTATGGCAATAGTTCTTGAAATGGTCACATACTCAATTTTTCCACAATTTAACATTGACAATTAGCTTTTGTGAACTGTTAGCAAATTACAAGAAAAATTGCATGAAACAACAAACATCTTCAGAACAGAATATTTACCCAAGTCTATCTATTGTGTTTTACTGATCTTTGCAACAAATAGCTATCTTAGTCTTCTCATAGACCTGTGCAGAGGATAGTACTTCTGAAACCATCTTCCAAAGTCCTTACAAATGAATCTAATTCACTAAGCATTAAACAGTTAAAAACAGAAGTACACAAAAGTTAACATAGAGATAACCAAGAGAACCTGAAAACATTCAAAATCTACTGACAGAATTATTCCTGCATACTCTTTTTAGCAACTCGGCACACTAATCTAGCAAGAACTTTGAGTAAATCGCTGAAGGCAAATTACTATTAGCAAATTGTTTTCTTTAGATTCAGGCAGTGAAACCCCTTTAAATATCTTGAAACAATATTGCTATTATATCACATTTTCATGAAATCCTCTTTTCTAACCAGGTAGTTCCAGTGATGTAAAAGACTTGGTCTCAACCAGTTGCTGTCCCAACACACTGTTCAGTTTTTATAAACAGTATGGGCAATAACAGGCATCACAGCCAAAAGTGTACTTCATTCTCTACTGGCTCGACCATTTAAAATTGCTTGAGTGATCAACTCTACCCATCAGGATGTTAACTATCCCAAACAGACCAAACAAAGTAAATTATTTACTGGGAGCAAACTTTCAGTATAAAAATACATTCATTTTACAGGCCATTTAAGTAGAGATGTCATAATCAAATGCAGTTAAATCTGGATCATTAGTTATTTAATATTGAGCATGACAAGAATTTTAAAAATCTATTTCAGAGACAAAAAAGGCAAACAAATAGCAGATGCAATTTACTGCAGACGTGTGTGAAGCTAAGCATTTTAGAAGCAACAAAACATGGGTAGTATAAAGGCAATGGTACTACTTTGAGGAGCCACACATTTACAAATCCTTGATGGTGACAAGGCAATTATTAAGCAGGTAAGAACAAGTACAGCTTTGTAAACAGGGGCACTGAATACATGACCAAGGAAGCCCCACTAAACTTTTAATAAATCCTGGCTAGGCCTCAGATGGAATATTGTTTGCAATTATGGCTGCTGGGAGGTGGTTTAGAAGACACTTACCCGGACACCAAGGATTAGGGAGTTCAGTTATGTAGAGAGATCAGAAAAAAGTTGGATTTATTTTCATTAGAGCAATGATGATTAAGGGTGAGACTATTTAAGGAATTCAAATGTACGAAGGATTTTGATAACTTCTCCCCATTTGCAATATTTCTTCTGTAAAATGGATTACTAACCAGATGTGATGGATATTTAATAATGAGTAGAAGCCCTAGAAAGAGACTGAGAATTTGCTTCACAATGATGGTTAAGGATCTGGAGCGTACAAATCTGAAAATGGGGTAGAATCATATTCCATTGTCACTTTTAAAAGGCACTTACACATTTTTTAAAATGCAGTCATAAAACGTGAGTGTTACTGGCTAGGCATGCATTTATTGCACATCAGCAATCACCCTGAAGGTGGTAGTGACCTTCCATCTTAAACCGTTGCAGTGTCCGGGCACAGAGGTACCTGCAAAGCTCTTAGGAAGGTGAAATAACTCCAGAGGGGTCCGTATCCCGCCACCAAGTCAGTCTTTATTTACACGTGGGAAGTCCTTGCCGCTGATCCAGTTTCCTCACAACCAGATCTCAGAACGAACAGAACCTCTCACTCCTTGGGACAGTTTGACAGCCCCAAACTGGGAACTCATTCTATGAGGTCCACCTGGCTGACTTTGTTACAATCACTACAGGAGGGAGTTCCAGGATTTTAACTCCATGACAATGGAGGTGCAGCCAAATAAGATAGTCAGGATAGTGTGTGGCTTGGAGGGAAACTTGTAGGTGGTGGTGTCCCCATGCATCTATAGCCCTGGCATTCTAAATGATAGAAATTATGAATTTCCAAAGTGCTGTTGAAGAAGCCTTGGTGAGTTACCATAGTGAATCCTGTAGATGGTATGCATCAGTGCTGAGGGGAGTGAATGTGAAAGATTGTGGTGGATTGTGCATGAGTCAAGCATCCTTCTTTGCCCTGAATGATGGCAGTTTCTTGAATTTTGTTGAAGCTGCATCCCTCCAGGCATGTGTAAAGTATTTCATCACACCCGACTTGTGCTTTGTCAATTGTGTTATTTTACATCAAGGGAGATGGTTGGATTCTCCTTTGTTGGAGATAGTCATTGCCTGACACTTGTGTGGCAGAAGCGTTACTTGCCATTTTTCAACCCAAACCTAAACATTATAGGTCTTGCTGCATTTGGACACAGATGATCTGAGAAGTATCTGAGAAGTCAGGAGCTGTTCTGAACATTGCACAATCATCAGCTACCATTTCCACTTCTAGCCTTACAACAGAGAAAAAGATCATTAATGAAGCAGCTGAGGAAGGCACCATCCTGAGGAACGACTGCAATGACCTCCTCAGAAGACAGACAAAAACAGGACCGATAGAGTTTACTTTGTCATCCAGTACTTCCCCAGAGTGGAGAAACTACATGACGTTCTTCACAACCTTCAACATGTCATTGATGTTGAACATCTCACCAAGATCTTCCCTATGCCTCCACTTCTCGCCTTCAACAACTGCCAAACCTTAAACAGACCATCATACCCAGCATTCAGGACAACATTGACCACAACACCCCACAACTCTGCCACGGCAACCTGTGTAAGACATGCCAGATCACTGACATGGATACTGACATCACACATTGGAATACCGCCCACCACGTACACAGCAGATACTCACGTGACTTGGCCAATGCAGTTTACCTCATACACTGTATGCAAGGACACCGTGAGGCATGGTATCTTGGTGAGACCATGCAGATGCTATGACAATGGATGCATGGACAATGCGCAACAATTGCCAGACAGGAATGTTTCCTCGCAGTTAGGCAACACTTCAGCAGTCAAGGACATACAGCCTCCAATCTTTGGGTAAACGTCTTCCAAGGTGGCCTTCGAGATACACAACATTGCAGAATCACCAAGCAAAAACTGACTGACTAGTCCCATACCTATAAAGATGGCCTCAACCATGACCTTGGGTTCATGCCACGCTACACGTAACCACACCATACTGATCCGCTATTGTAAAATCTTCCTTACTGTCCTATTTTGACACCATCATCTTGATAACTTGTTATGATCTCTCTACCTTAATTAGTTTCTACAGTCTTAGATTACTTGTTACTCTGGTTAGATCTTTGGCACATGACTCTTATATCTATCATGTTATTCCAGTCATTTGGTTCGTCTCCAGCGCCATCTTATTTTTAGTTTTTTGTAATTATCTCTCTGCGTCAATTTCGGATTCAGCTGTCAACACTTTACTCACATCATCTGACCCTTTTGATCACTGCAGAGACTTATCATTCAGTCTGTCGACACTCCTCTCGTGCCATCTGTACAATTTTTTGATCTTTTTGCCTATAAATTCCGTGCTTGTGTGCTTCTCTTCACTTTATCGGACAAAGGAGCAGCAGTTTGAAAGCTTGTGGTTTCAAATAAACCTGTTGGACTATAACCCGGTGTTGTGAGACTTCTGATTTTGTCCACTCCAGTCCAACACTGGCGCCACCACATCATGGCTTTATTTTCCACCATTGACCTTAGTTCTAGATTCTCCCACAGACATTCACCTTGTCAAAACATTGTGGGATCATATATATTTCAATCAAATAGCCTCTTTGCTCTCCTAAACTCCAGCGGATACAAGCATGCCTGCCAAGCCTTTCCTCATAAAACAACCAACCCATTCCAGGCTTTAGTCTCACAAAGCACCTCTGAACCGTTTCCAATGTGGACTGTATCAAATTAGCTGAAGCATCTGTAATGCTGGGGTTCTCAGGCAGAGGTCAAGATGGATCTTCCCATTAGCACTTCTGCTGAAAATGACGCAAAAACTTCAGCTGTGTCTTTTGCACTGACGTGCTTTGCTGCCCCATCGCTGAGGATAAGGATGTTTATGCAACCTCTTCATTCTATAAGTTGTTTCATTGTCCACTGCCATTCATTACTAGATGTGGCAGATAGGCAGAGAATCAGGTCTCATTTGTTGGCTATGGGATTGCTTAGTCAGTAAGCGAATCAAAGGTTATGGAAAAAGGCTGGATTGAAGATTATTAGATCAACCATGATGTTATTAAATGGCAGAGAAGGATGATGGGTTGAATGGCCTACTTCGGCTCCTATATTTTACAATTTTAACCTGTCTACTATATGCTGTTTCTAGTGTTTGGCATCACCAGGTTGATAGCTTATTCTTAGGCAAGTGTAGGGCGCTCCTGCCAACATTCTTCATTGAACTGGGGTTGAACTGTTAGCTTGATGATAATGGTAAAGTGGGGGATATGCTACACCTAGTGGTTATGGATTGAGGTTAAATAAAACTTTGTTGCTGATGGCTGAGAGGCTCAGTACTGAATTGCTGGATGTGTTTGAAGTCTGTCCCATTTGGTATAGTAGTCACGCTACTCAACATAATGGAAGAAATCCCGGATGGGACTGCACAATTCACTGAAATTTTGAAAAACCTTACACACATTTGGAAAAATATTGACTTCTTAGCAAATTGGTTTTGTGTGGGGAAAGTAGTATCTCACAAACGTGATTGCATTTTTTGAGGAAGTGACAAGGATGATTGATGAGGGCAGGGCAATGGATGCTGCCTGCACAAACCTCAGCAAAGTGTTTGAGAGGGTCCCTTATCATAGAATCCTTATAGTGCAGAAAGAGACCATTCAGTCCGTCATGACAGGCTGATACAGAAGGTGAAGTCAAATGGGATCTACGGTGAGCTGGTGTGATAGATACAGAACTGGCTTGGTCATAGAAGGCAGAGAGTGGCAATGGAAGGGTGTTTTTCTGATTGGAGATCTGTGACCAGTGGTGTTCCGCAGAGATCAGTGCTGGGGCCCCTATTGTTTGTTATATATGTAAATGATTTGGAGGAGAATGTCGGTGGTCTGATTAGTAAGTTTGAAGACAACACAAAGATCGGGGAGCTGTGGACAGCGAGGAGGTTGCCAGAGGATGCAGCAGTATATACATAGGCTAGAGACTTGGGTGAAGTAGCAAACGCAATTTAATCCTGACAAATGCGAGGTGATGCATTTTGGAAGGTCTAATGCAGGACGGAAGTATACAGTAAGTAGTAAAGCCCTTACAAGTATTAACAAACAGGTCCACAGCTCCCCGAAGGTAGCAACGGAAGCAAATAAAGGTGGTCAAGGTGGCACGTGGCATGCTTGCTTTAAGCGGTAGGGCATAGAGTATAAAAATTAACAAGTCATGTTGCAGCTGTATAGAACTTTAGTAAGGCCACATTTGAAATATTGTCTACAGTTCTAGTTGCCACACTACCAGGAGGAACTGGAGGCTTTGGAGATGGTATAGAAATAACTCCAGAGACGTCGGTATCCTGCCACCAAGTCGCTCTTTATTTACATGTGGGAAGTCCTTGACGCTGATCCAGTTTCCTCTCATCCAGATCTGAGTGCACAGAACCTCTCACACTCCTTTTGTTATCTGTCAGCTAGGGTTCCCTACTTGGGACAGATTAACAGCCCCAAACTGGGAACTCATTCTATGAGGTCCACCTGGCTGACTTTGTTACAGTCACTACAGGAGGAGTTTAGAATGATCCTCTGAAAGAAAACACAATAAAACTCTCCAGAAAACTTTTGATGTGCGTCTTTAAATTTTAAACTTGAATACTCCTGATTTTAACTTGAATATTCCTTACTGATGTGCTTCCATAGACCTTATTAACAGTACTGCTGATTTGTTGATCATATTTTTAAAGAAAAATAAATTGTTGACAATGGTTATGTTATTGTATGATCTGCCATGGTGGAGTTTGAACCCATATCCCCAGAAGATTATCCTGGGGCTCTAAATTAGTAGCTCAGTAACATTACCACTACGCTGCCACCATCAACACTGTACAGTGCTTTATAGCACTATAAACTCTATCAGTGGAATCTTCCCACCCCTGAACACCTGAAAGACATGTGCAGGTTCGTGGATTGGCGATGCTAATTTGCCTTGTAATGTCCAGGGCTGTGCAGTTGTATTAGCCATTTTAAATGTGCTGTTACGGGGATTGGATGGGTTTCAGTGGGTTGCTCTTTGGAAGGTCGGTGCAGACGTGATGGGCCAAATGGCCTTTCTCTACACTGTAAGGATTCTATGATTCATCTTTTGGTGCTACTTACATTCTAGCAACTGGTGACTTATTTGACTATACAGAAAATAAAAGACAATAAAAGCAATTACCTACCTGCAACCAGGGACCATGAGCTGCATATGGGTGTTCTTCTGTAGCAAAGGCCCCTTCAACTCCAGTAGAAACAAATGTAATTGCTGTATCTCCTGTGATGCTTTTGTAAGTAAAGTGCCTTCCGTGCAACAATCTACCTCTAAAGAGAATAAGCATATTTCTTAAATCACCTTGTATCAAATAGACAAGTTTTTTAAAATTCAAAATGTTGCCAAGCATTCACACAAATGCTATTCCATTTACCTCAAAATTGGAAATCACTTTCCTGTATTTAATTCAAATGCTGTGGAAGAGTCGTCAGGTCTTATGAGCCCTTTTGACAAATGCATGGATTTGCAGACCTTTCTGATTTTTATCAGATTAACTATTACATTAAAAACCATTTTCCAACATTTTTTTTTTAGGAAAGAAGAACTGTTTCTATTTTCAAGGGGTGAATGAGAGTTAGAAGTAAACCAGGCAGTGAAATGTTAATCTGCTATTTCAAAATGGTCAGAAAGAACAATACTAGATAGATAAAGTTTAAAATAAAAATGTAAAAGAACAGAAAACATGGATTTCATGGAAAACACAGACAAATACTTTTTAAGTGAAAGTGTTTGCACTTTTTGTTTCACGTTAAAGAAAGGTATTTGGTGTTTGAGTAGCTTTATTTCTGTACAATTCTGATACTCTCCGCATCGTATACAGTGAGCTGAGAAACTACAGAATAATTGGCCCAAGATTGTGCACAGTCTAAAGGTTAAACCAATTTGATTGAACTTTTCTGGATCAAAGTTTATTTTTTAATTTATTGAACATCAACATGGCACCTCCAAATGGGATGGAATTCATGGAGTTATGGCTCAATACTATAAATTTACTTAGCTAATAAAATTCTAACTTAATTTTAGGGGAAATAAAGCAAAGTACAATAATGAGTTGTCAGGGCTTTGGAAACCCAAAAAAGCAAACTCTTCATGGGGATTGTGGAGTTGTGACTGTAAATATGTACTATGTACTATTGTTAAACTAGGGAAATATTAATCTCATAACAACTGCTCTCATTATATTAATCGCTATGATTTCAATCCTCATAATTATTATATTTTAAAAATGAAATCTGAATCAAAAAAATCAAGCTTACCTATTTGTAGTTTTGCTGAAATCACCTATTACATTCTCCCTCTCTCTATTTCCCCTCCAAGTGATAGAGTTGAAAGTCAAAATGGTCAGCTAGTGATTATCAGCCAATTGTATTAATGCACTTTCTAAAAATACTCTTACACCACAATTGTCAATGTGCTACGAACAAGTAGCAGCCAGCCAAACAAATCTTCTAACCATTATATAAAAGGAAGTGCTAAAACCAATTAAAAAGGATTCCTTATTGCTTCACTGAAAGTTAGAATGCATGTTAATTTGCTTCATTCAGTAAAACATTAGCTACTGCCCTGCAAAACAAAAGTTGGGAATTGCAAAACTAGTCATGAAGAAGGATCACATAGCTGAAACAATATCATCTTCCAGGTGATCATCTGCTGTGCATTTTCAGCACTTTAGCTTGATTTTTTTTTTCTACCTATGCTTTGTGAATGCCACTTCCTTTTCCATTTGTTCCTGGACTGTCCCCATGCCATATACATTGAGTGTTGAGGTTAAAGATCCGAACGTTACTAGTTACTCTACAAGTACAATAGCATTAGCGAGACTGGTCCTCCAATGTTCCTGGCCTTTGGAGGTGTTTTCCACCTCAGAAGTGCTAAGATTGAGAACTAATGTTCTGTCACATTTGTTGTTGTTGTTTTACAATCTAACATTTGCATTTGTTTATTTTTGATATTTCCTTTGATCCTACTCATTACTAGCTCAAACAAGATTTAAAACTCAGGTTTTCTGGATTTCATTTTTTCCCCATAAAACTTAATAACTGTTCACCTCAGTGACAATGGAATAAGAGTTCCAGATTCCTGGTTGAATTTAAGATGTACACTCTCCAGCTGCCTGGTGCGAATCAATTCATGAGGAACAATAGCAGCAGAACTTTCACTCTCCAAACTATCTTTCCTAGTCCTAGGAAAAAATAGGAAAACAAAACAAAATTCAAGGGAAATGATTGCATTAAAACAAAAAAAAGCATTAAAATTAATTTTGCTACAGGTCAAAATTTTGTGAAGTTGATTATATTTCGGACATACTGGGGTTTTGACATGAATCCAGTGGCAAAAGACAAGAACAACAAATCAGTAATAGTTTGTAAATTACACTGATGTGCATGTCATCTCAAATGACCAAACTCTGTCCAAGTGTTCTCATTTAAAGCAGCTCCAATACAAAACACAATACTCACTGGTTCAATGTGGTGCATAAACATAAAAAGAGACCTAGTTCAGGATTCTCTTAAGGTTAACATTTAGGTTCAGTTGGCAGTTAGAAAGGGAAATGCAATATTATCACTCATTTTGAGTGGACTAGAATACAAGAGCGGTCATGGACAGCTGAGGCTGTATAAGGCTCTGGTCAGACCACACTTCGAATATTGAGAGTAGTTTTGGATCCCATATCCAAGGAAGGATGTGCTGGCCTTGGAGGGGACACAGAGAAGGTTTACAAGAATGATCCCAGGGATGAAGGGCTTGTCATATGAGAAGTGGTTGAAGCCTGTGGATCTATAGTCAATGGAGTTTAGAAGAACGAGGGACAAATCTCATTGAAACTTACAGAATACTGAGGTACAGAAAACAGAGATGATGTTTCCACTTGTAGGAGAAACTAAGACCCAAGGGCATAGCATTAGAGTAAAGAAACAACCCTTTAGAACAGAGATGAGGAGGAATTTCTTCAGCCAGGTGGTGTGAATTTGTGGAATTCATTGCCACAGAAGGCTGTGGAGGCCAAATCACTGAGTGCATTTAAGGCAAAGATAGGTTCTTGATTAGTAAGGAGATCAAAGATTATGAGGAGAGGGCAGGAGAAAAAAGGTAAGAAGCATATCAGCCATGACCAAATAGTGGAGCAGATTCGATGGGCCAAATGGCCTAATTCTACTCCTATATTTTACAGTCTAATCGTCTAAACTTCACTTACTTGAAAATGATGTTCCAAATTATAATTATTGATAAAGACATACATTTGACAATTCTCTGCTAGGTTTTCTGCTAGGTTTGACAAAAGTGAATTGTGACAAACCAAACCTCAAGTTTCCAACTCATGTCTCATTAATTAAAAGGATCTGTTTTTGAGGGAATTTGAATCAGAAATCAGAATAAATAACCAACCTGCTGGGCAAGTGGATTATAAAATTGCTTGCGCATATTGTCAAAACGTGAGTCAAATACAAATATGTGCTTCAGATAGTTTGTCTGAAATGTCACATATGTACTACCATTTTCTTATATTTGCATAAATAGGGGCAGGGGTGGTTTAACAAGGGTAGACCAAAAAATATTAAATTTAAAAGGGCGAAATGACCAATCTAAATAGAAAAATTTCTTCCCCCTCTTCCATAAAGAAAGCAATAGAAGAGCACAAAGCATGGAGGCGAGTGCACTCTTGTATTAGTTTATTCCATTGTCCTTCATGGAAGATTGGTACAATTTTGAAACAGAAGCATAAATAAAACAACTAATTGCTTGTGCAATGTTGAATGCAGAGTAAAGACCAGTAAGGACTTTAATAAAGATTAAAATGAGCGAGATCAGAGTAATATAATTGATAGCACAATTATAAAACATCTAAACTAAGGAGGCATGGGATTCAGGGAAATTTGGCTGTCTGGATACAGAACTGGCTGTCCAACAGAAGACAGAGGGTGGTAGTAAATAGAAAGTATTCAGCCTGGAGCTCGGTGACCTGTGGTGTGCCGCAGGGATCTGTTCTGGGTCCTCTGCTCTTTGTGATCTTTATAAATGACTTGGATGAGGAAGTGGAAGGGTGGGTTAGTAAGTTTGCTGATGACACGAAGGTTGGTGGAGTTGTGGACAGCGTGGAAGGCTGTTGTAGGTTGCAACAGAACATTGACAGGGTCCAGAGCTGGGCAAAGAAGCGGCAGATGGAATTCAACCCGGAAAAGTGAGAAATGATTCATTTTGGAAGGTCGAATTTGAATGCAGAATACAGGGTTAATGGCAGGATTCTCCGCAGTGTGGAGGAACAGAGGGATCTTGGGGTCCACGTCCATAGATCCCTCAAAGTTGCGTCTCAAGTTGATAGGGTTGTAAAGTAGGCGTATGGTGTGTTGGCTTTCATTGGCAGGGGAATTGAGTTTAAGAGCTGTGAGGTTATGCTGCAGCTCTATAAACCTCTGGTTAGACCACAGTTGGAATAGTGTGTTCAGTTCTGGTCACCTCATTACAGGAAGGATGTGGAAGCTTTAGAGAGAGTGCAGAGCAGATTTACCAGGATGCTGCCTGGACTGGAGGACAGGTCTTATGAGGAAAGGTTGAGGGAGCTAGGGCTTTTTTCATTGGAGCAAAGAAGGATGAGAGGTGACTTGATAGAGGTTTACAAGTTGATGAGAGGCATAGATAGAGTGGATAGTCAGAGACTCTTTCCCAGTGCGGAAATGACTATTACGAGGGGGCATAATTTTAAGGTGATTGGAGGAAGGTATCGAGGAGACGTCAGGGGTAGGTTTTCACACAGACAGTGGTAGGCGTGCAGGATGCGCTGCCGGCAGTGGTAGTAGAGTCAGATACTTTACAGACTTTTAAGTAACTCTTGGATAGGCACATGGAGGATAGTAAAATGTAGGGTATGCAGAGTAGCTTGATCTTAGTAGGATAATATGTCGGCACAATATTGTGGGCCAAAGGGCCTGTACTGTGCTGTACTGTTCTATTCTATATTCTTAAATCTTGGTGGATTTTTTTTGAGACACAATCAGGCTCCACTCAAAGTAGTTTGTCCCAATCTAACTGTTCTACCTTCCTATTTAAATTTGTCAGTGGACTTGTTATAATTATTTTCTCCTACACCCTTTCTGAAAGCATCTTTACTCCTCGTACCTGACTGAAATGAAAATTATTTATTTGTGTATTTGACAGTTGGAAACACTCGGCAATTTGATCATGGATAGCACTGTAACCACATCCAATTCTTTTGTTAACATACAGTCTAAGCAGATGGGATCTTAATCAGATGGGCCGAGGAATGGCAGACAGAGTTTAATTTAGATAAATGTGAGGTGCTGCATTTTGGAAAGGCAAATCAGGGCAGGACTTAATGGTAAGGTCCTGGGGAGTGCTGTTGAACAAAGAGACCTTGGAGTGCAGGTTCACAGTTCCTTGAAAGTACAGTCTCGGGCAGCCAAGATATGAAAAAAGCATTTGGTACGCCTGCCTTTTTTGGTCAGTGCTTTGAGTAGAGGTGTTGCGAGGTCATGTTGAGGCTGTACAGGACATTGGTTCGGCCACTTTTGGAATACTGTGTGCTATTCTGGTCTCCCTGCTCTAAGATGGATGTTGAGACTTGAAAGGGTTCAGAAAAGATTTATTAGGATGTTGCCATGGTTGGAGAGTTTGAGCTATAGGGAGAAGCTGAATAGGCTTGGGGGTGGGGTGGGGGGCGTGGGGGTGGTTGTGGTGACCTTATAGAAGTTTATAAAATCATGGAGCGGCATAGATAGGATGATTAACCAAGGTCTTCTCCAGGGTAGTACAGTCCAAAACTAGAGGGCATAGGTTTAATGTGAGAGAGGAAAGATTTAAAAGGGACCTAAGGGGCAACTTTTTTCACACAGAGGAATGTATGTATGGAATGAGCTGCCAGAGAAGTGGAGGAAGTTCGTCCATTTACAACATTTAAAAGGCATCTGAGTGGGTATATGAATAGGAAGAGTTTAAGAGGGATATGGGCTAAATGCTGGCAAATGGGACTAGATTAATTTAGGATATCTGGTCGGCATGGATCGAAAGGTCTGTTTCCATTCTGTACAGCTCTATGGGTTTATGCAGTTAGATATTGATTAACTTGCCTGACGTTTATCACCTTAACAGATTCATAACAACCCCTTTGTGGGACCCCGAATAGTGATACCACCACAGACTGCATTTATAGATAGTCTTTATGCAAAATATCTTTACAGACAGTAATCAGTTTTGGGCAGGAGGGATTTGTGAGAGGAGTACAATTGAAGTACAGGTGCAGATTTGCATTTTATAAAGTATTTTGAAGGTTTGGACAGATGTAGCAATAAGACGACATTGAACTCCAGGAAGTGTTTTTACTCCAAAGTTACTGTAAACCCACCGGACCATAAGACTGCTCTTTCATTAGAGACTCATGACTGGCAGTGGTTTAACCTGAGGGTCACAACGTCTCAAGCAAGGGAAGACATTGAGAACGAAAGTCCTTCTTGGTAACCTCAGCTGGCACGGGAATGAAACCCACATGGCTGGGATCACAGATCGGCCATTAAGCCAACTGAGCTAACCAACTGCCCTACACCCCCATCTCCGAAAGTGTGCCTGGAGAGGGAAAACACACATTCGTTGAAAGTATGGATGATATAAACGGAATCATTGGATTTCAGGTGATGGTAAAACATGGGCAGACACACAGAAATGCAAGGATTTGAAGTCAGGGGCAAAAATACTGGAACCACTGTGTTCAGAGAATGAAGACTGGTTTATCAGTTGAGCATATATGAAATCATCAGAAAAGTTTGAATACATTGGCTTTTCAGATGTAAGGTGGACCTTGGGAGTATTGTAAAGGTGAACATAGAAAATGGCAGTTGAAGGATAACAAGCACTTACTGTGAACAGACTGGGGTGGAGACTATAAATCATTCAGGTGATGATGGGATGTGGTGTTTGAAATAAAGCTCAGGATCAAGGAACGCAGAACTTGGATACCCTCAGGTTCTGGTACGTAAGGATCGGGGAACAGGATTGGAACATAAGCGACAACTATGTCACTGGGCCACCTGGGCTGAAAAGAATGACATTGGTCTTGCTCATCCACGTCAAGATGTCTGTCCAAATGTAATCAAGGATGGAGACTTTAGATACAAATGAAAACATTTAATATCTTTGCAACGTGTACTTAAGAGCACAAGGGTACTGTATGGG